TTCTAAGGCTAGAGAAAGAAAAAGTGAATTTTCAGGATTGGATGTGAAGGACGGGGCTGTGGGGCTGTGGCTTAGACCTCTGAGGAGACACAACATGGAGGGAGTATACCCAAGTTGGTGCCCAGATGGTTGTACCATGGGGAGGTACCATGGGGAGGGAGCATGGGGAGGCTGGGTCCTTTATTACCCCGAGAGCTGGAGGCTCAGCAGGAAGCCAGCTGGCAAGGTAGTCTGGGAAATACCTTAATAGTTAGGCTTCCAACCCCAGGGCCATAGAGCAGAGTGCAGAAGTAGGGCTGGGAGACTCGAGGCAGAACAGGAAATGGGGACCTTTCTGTTGAGTAAAACCTTCAAGGGCACCCAGTTGAGGCCTGGCTGAATATCTAGGTCTCCTGATCACCAGTCTGAAAATACTTTTATTATACTCTATGCTTTTTATTTTAAGCCGGTCAATGACAGTTGGGCATGCAGGAGAATGTACGTGTCTTACTTTTTTCATGCTGCATCAGTGGTGACTTTGGTGTCCTGGAAAGCCATTGGCATGGCTGGGGGCAGAGGGCAGAGGGGCAGAGGGGAAGAGGCTGAGACACAGAAAGTCCAGTTGGGGCAGCAGTTGGTCTGTTTCCCAAGGAGGAGGACTCTGCTTTCCTCCTTGGTAAGAGACATTTCATTCTTACAGTGAGTTTTTCCGCCCCATCAGATCTTTCTTATGGCTGTTTCATCTTAGCTCCTGTATCATTTCACATTCCTTAGATTGGGTTTCAACACTGTCCTGAATCTCAGTGATCTTTGCTCTTACCCATATTCTGAATTCTTTGTCTGTAATTTCAGCCTGGTTAAGAACCATTAAGAACCAACTAGCAAACTTGGAGTGTGAAACTTATTTTTTGCCTGGAGATAAGACACTCTGGCTTTTTGAGTTGCCAGAGTTTTTACACTGTATTTTGCTCATCTGCATGGGGTGATGTTCCTTTAGTCTTTGAAATTTGGATGGGTTTTTTTGATGCCCTTGGGCGTTTGATTGTGGTATAAGTTGAGCTCATTTGACTGATTCTATTCTAGAAGATTTCAGAGGGCCAAGGCTCAGCTCAGCAGCCGTGGGCTCTGTGCTTTCACTCTGGGGTGCTGGTATGGATTTCCCAGCTTCGTTTTCCGGTCCCCGGCAGTTAGTAACCTGACGCACTGGAGGGGCCGAGGTGTTCGTGGTCTGCTGGCCCCAACACTCTGACATGGGGTGCTGGCCACAGCACTTGATAGGAGGGAGCAGGGGAAGTGGGACCTGCGCTTGCCCACGTGTGCCAGCAGCCATGGTGGTGTGTCAGGCTGCCTGTGCCACAGCAGCGGTGGGGTCCCATTGGAGGTGGGGAGAGCCGTGGGATGTGCTCTGCCATCAGCGCTAGGGCAGCAGAGTGCACATGCACATTGGTGTTTTGTGGGGAAGGGAGGTGAAGTCTGCCCCTATGTGGGGTGCCAGCCAGGCAGTGAGAGGGATCTGTGGTTGGGGGAGTGCTGACAGCGTGGTGGAGGAGGCTGCTTGTAGGCTGGTTGCACTGGTGGAGGCTGTTCTGCTAGAGCTCTCCACAGGTTAGCTGCAGTCTGCCCTTGGAGGAGCTATGATTGCCCCACCCCAGCCCCTCTGGAAGCACCCTGTTTGGGCATCAAAGGCTGTGCTGGAAGCTGGTGTGACCATGCTGCGGCCCTAGGAGATGCCGGCACATGGTGGGTGGTGCTCAGAGCAGACTGTCCTCATCCTGTGGGCAAGACCATCCGGCTCTGGGCAGGTCGAGCAGTCTTCCAAAGGCTAAAGCCACCTAGAAGATGTTGGTGAGACTTGGGGGATGGGCATCCCTGGCCGTGCTCCACTGTGCGTGTTCCCACACCAAACCCGCTGGCCTCCACACCCCCTGGAGTCCTGCCCCTGCCCCCTCTCAGCAGCTCTCCCTGCCAGCTCACGTGTCCGTGCGGGTCTTGGGGTCTCCTGCAGCTAGGATTTCAGAGATCTGTGGCAAGAGCAGGCTGCTCCTTGCCTATTCAGCTCACCCCTTCCTTGGAAATGGCATTGGTAGAAATCGAGATGCAAGGATTCTTCTTGTGCAGCAGGAAGTGAAGGAATTCCGAGAGGGGTTGTGGTTTTGAATTTTCATGCCAAATATTTTTTTGTCAACGTATTGTTTTTTCCCTAATAAATACCTGGATACTGTATCCTTTCTAAACTAAAGGAGTATCTGTTCCATACAGAGCTTTGATAATCTACAGTTGAGATAATTTGGTTTTTTTAGTTTTCAAAGTAGACAACAAGTTAACTTCGATGACGGTTTATGTATTTGCTCAACACTTTCTGCAGATTCCAGACTTTCAGAGTAAGTTATAATTTGAAGATTCTAAAAGTTTGTTTCTGTCTTTTTCTCTTCCTCATCTTGTTCCAGAAGGATTTGAGGTATCTTACATAAATACATAAAATTTTCTTTTCTCATGGATAACAGGCAAAGGGAAAGTAGATGTAAGAAAAATAATATGAAGCCAGAGATTGACAATCTTCCAAGTCAGTACCAACTCCAGCAATGTACTGGCGAAAGAAACTGCTGGGCTTGACTTCAAGAATGTTCCCTGGTGTCTGTGACAACAGGAGAAGGCCTGAGGCCTGACATGGCTGCAATGTCCTCAGCAGCAGGGCGAGAGCCACCCTTCATTCCCACAGCAGCTGGAGACAGCTGGTCACGCGCAGAGCTTGGCGCGCTCCTCGGCTGGCTACACGCCCGCCCACCTGCACTTTGACCTCTCTGGTGAGGTCAGAATCCAGCACGTGTGTTGTTCTGAAATTAGTGTTTTTCTTCTTCTTTTTGAAGATGCTATCATCTGTGAATATTGGCATCTGTGCAACATTATCAAGCCTATTTTTGCAGTGTAGAGAATTAAAGATAGGAGTTTATTAGGGTTCTTTTCTCCCTGTAGGAAAAGGAATGATTCTCAAAAATAATGGCTGTGGGTCTCTGCTGGGGGAGTGGTTGAGATCAGGGAGGGAAGAGAAGGCTGAGTTGCCCCCTAGCCTCCCGCCCCCCAAGTCCTGCCGTTCTCACTTGCCAGCACCCCGGGAAGGACGCCTGCGTTGGAAGGCAATGCAAGTCCACGGTCTCTTGTCTCTAGTTGCAAAATCCAGAGGTTTCCACACCCGTTTTCTCCAAAGCCCTGCCCTGCACTGACATGAGGCTGTTGAGCGAGTGTCATCATTAACTCCTTCACCCACTGCATGCATTTGTTCAGTGAGCATTTATTTCCCACCCCCTGTGTGCTAGGGAATGGGGGAAAGGAAAGGAGCAAATGACAGTCATTAGTTGAAGCCTGTGAAAGCCACAGCGCCCCTGACCGTGGGGTTCACCTGTTCCTTAGTATTCTGGGCCTGTGTCAACTCACAGTGTGTCATTCTTGGCGGTACCCTTGTAGGTTAGCTCTGCAAGGCCTAACAGGGAGGGAGGCACAGGTCTTCTTCATTTTTCTTTGTAAACTTGAAATACACATACCCAGTACAGGATTTTTAATTTTTTTCATATAGAGTCTTGCTCTGTCACTCAGGCTGGAGTGCAGTGGCATGATCTCGGCTCACTGCAAGCTCTGCCGCCTGGGTTCAAGCAGTTCTCCTTGCCTCAGCCTCCTGAGTGGCTGGGGTTATAGGCATGTACCACCATTTTTGTTTGTAAATTATGACCCGTATCTCAGATGATGTAATAATACAGTAGGGACCTCTTATCCACGGTTTCACTTTCCACAGTTTCATTTACTTGCTGTCAACCAGGGATCAAAAATTGGTGAGTACAGTACAATAAGGTATTTTGAAAGGGAGACTCATTCACATAACATTGACTACAGTGTGTTGTTACAATTCTACTAGTTACTGTTGTTAATCTCTTACTATGCGTAACTTACAAGTGATACATCACCACGGTTACGTATGCATAGGACATAACACAGCACAAGAGATGTAGGGCTCGGTAGTGTCTGCTGTTCAGGCATTCCCTGGGGGTGCTGGAACATATCCCCAACAGGTACAGAGGGTCTGCTGTATTCACTGTTAGTTCTGGAATGCTTGGGTCACTTTATGAAGCCGGTTGGTGCATGTGTAGACCGTGTGTAGCAGAGATGTGTCCATAGAGGCTACTGCTAACATGGAATCAATCACTATCAAATGAAAGAACAGCCTTCCTGTTTACATTCAGATTCTGAAAATGCGTGCTGTTCATATCAACCTCTTGTGTCAGTCAGCGTTTCCATGTACAAAGACTATGGCAGCTTGGGCCCTGTAGGTGTGAGCTTTTTAATAACGACAGCTGTTTATCAAAGTTACATTTTACAGGAATATAGGTTATCTAAAGACTCAGCAGAGAGTCACACATTTACTACTAATCCTACCAAGAATCCTGCTGCTACTCTAGTAGGCTGGAAAAATCCACTACCACTACTAATGCTACTAATAAGATTTCCTGTGTGTTTTTAAAGAAAGCATAGTGTGTTTATGCCTGCCAACGTTTATGGCTCCTGGTTCCTGAGTCTCAGAAGAGTTATGGGATGCCGGCGCCCAGGGGAGCCCTGTCTCCTCTGCCCAGCTTCCTTGGTCCAGTTATCCTCCCCGGCTGTGGCCTTTCAGACCCTTGCCCGCTGGGCCCACGCCTCCTTTCCTTTACAGACTTGCGTGGCTCTCCATGCTCCTCTGAAGTGGGGTGGGTTTTCTCTTCTGGCCCCTCGGCCCCATTGGCCTCCCTGGCTGTGTGGGTGTTGGGTGTGGCCCCCCCATCTGGCCTCATAGCTCTTGCCCTTGTGTTGGGTCAGCTCCACCCCACATGAGTGACCTTGGCATCCATGCGATGGTGGAGATCGCTGGGTGCTGGCCCCTCTAGGCCTGTGGAGAGCGGCCACTGTCTTGGGCAGGCTAGACAGAAGCCTTTTCGCCGCATGCTTTTAGAAGTCAGTAAGTCAAGGACTGTGCAGATATCTCCATTGTTTTCTAGAAAAGAAGCCGGGGCGCAGCAGGCCTTCGCAAGACTGGCGGGAGCGGAGGAACGCCATCCAACTCACCAGCGAGCACACGGTGGAGACCCTGGTGGTGGCTGATGCCGACATGGTGCAGTACCACGGGGCCGAGGCCGCCCAGAGGTTCATCCTGACCGTCATGAACATGGTGAGTCCGGAGCCGGGACCTGAGGCGGGCTGGGGTGCTCTATTTTCTCCTTAATGAGAGATCTGGAAGTGGGGGCTGTGTCCTGGTCTCCTGACGTGAGGAGGAGGAATGCTGGGTTAGGGGGTAGGAGAACGTAGCCTGGTGATCCCCAGGCATCGAGGAGGACAGGTACCTAGGGGACATTCTGATGGGAGTGAGCCCGCCCCTGGCTACACACTGGAGTGGTGTGGACGTGCCCAGATCTGCTCAGTGACGGGGCCACCTGTTACCGGAAGGCTTCCCAAAGCTGTGCTGTGGTTTCAGACATCCCCTGGGGGTGTTGGAACATATCCCTGCAGATACGGAAGGCCTGTGTGTCCACTTTTGGTCTGGAATGATTGGGCCACTTTATGAAGCCGGTTGGTGCATATGTAGACTGTGTGTAGCAGAGATGTGTCCGTATAGGCTACTGCTAACATGGAAATCGCTATCAAATGAAAGAACAGCCTCCTGTCTGTATTCAGATTCTGAAAATACATGCTCTTCGTGTCAACCTGCTGTGTGGGTCAGAGGTGCTTCCTCTCCAAGGGGCATTCAAAGTCATGTGAGTCCCAGACCCTGCTCCAAGGAGTCCATCGTCTGGCAGGAGGGATAAAGTCCAACCTCTCTGGAAAAAAAGAGCTTACTGTGTGCTGAGAGGCGCTGGCGAGAAGTGGGGAGAGAGCTTGCCTAGTTGAGGGAACCAAGGGAGGAGTCACGATGCCCACGTCTGTCTATGTCCAGTTTGTCAGAGGGGATGGAGGGAAACCTTTACTTGGGAACGGGTGGGTGGTGAGGCTGGGCTCCTCAAATATTAGACGCTGAAGGACCTTCAAGGGCATCCTAGCTTTACCCATCCATTCATTTCCCCAGGTGTTCTTGAGGACCAAGTCATTTGACCTGGCTGGAGCGGAGAGCCATAAGGGTGTGGGAGGTGTGGACAGGGCCGATGACGGGGGAGGGTCAGGCGTCTTGAGGAGCAGGGGCTCTTCCCTGAGAAGTGGGACCCCTAAAGGGAAGGGGAGCAATGTGCCAAGGCTGATGTTAGGAAGAACAGGCCAACAGCCACGTGCAGGGTGCATTGGAATGGGAAGCAGTGTCGTGGAGCACTGGGGCTGGAGCGTGTGTGGAAGAGGGTTGGGGTGGGCACGGAGGAGGGGCTGGGGTAAGAGGAAGGGCCTGCAGGAATTGGTGACTGGCAGGATGTGAGGGATGGAAGAGGAAGCAAGAGAAATCCGGGCTCCTGTACCCAGGCTTCAGGCTGGGCCTCTGGGCAGTTGGTGGAGCCATTGGCTGAGAAAAGATGAACAATGGGTTTGGAGCCACAGCAAAGAGTTTCCATTCTGGACAAGCGGGGATATCAGAACAGAAGTTTTGGTGGAAAAGAGGGAGTTGGGGCTTTTCAGCCTACAGCTGGCAGCTGAAGTCAGGGGGTGACCGGCACTGCCTGGATGAAAGGTGGCAGTGAGTAGAAAAGCTGATCCATGACAGCCCGCGGAGCAGCAGCCCTGGGGGGACAGGGCAGGACCTGGGAGGAGGTTGTCCTGAAGAAGGGGTGACAGGTGCAGGAGACTGGCTAACGGTGCCAGATGGAACCGTGTTAGGGAGTGTTGCGGGTAGACGCTGGATGAGGACAAACGGAAAAGGCAATGGGAAGTGAGAACTGGGGACGGCACTTCCTGATCTCAGCTGACGGAGAGGAGGCGGCGCCGCACCGAGTCAGGTGGAATCCGGGTGAAGGGGAGCTTTGTAGAGGGAGAGCGGTACCGAGGTGCGGAGTGTGACATTTAGCCTCAGGCCTGGCCTGGACTCCTGCCCAGCTGCTCAGAGCAGAGACCGTCTCAGCCTGCTTCTCATCAGTGCTCGGTGCGTGGCTACAGATGGTCGTGCCGTTCATGGAAGGGAGTGAGGTGAGAGGACAGGGCAAGGTCAAACGTTGTGGGTACAGTGGGGAGTGACCCAGGGCCTGAGTTTTCAGGGGGAACAGCAGCAGTGGGTTGTGTCGTGGGAGAGGAAGATGGCGTGCCTGTAGCTGCAGCCAAGGTCTTGAGGTCTAGGGCAGGTGCAGAGCCAGGCCTCAGGCACCCGTGTCTGCCTGGTGTGGTGACTCTGGAGCTCAGGGGTGAGTGCTGGGGAGGGGTTGCCTCTGACAGGAAGCCCAAGCGAGGGGCTCAGCGTGCTGGGCGGGTAGCAGAGGGCTGCGGTCCTTGTGGCAGACAGGGTCTGCAGGTGGCTCTTGGACCATGTGTGGAGTTCACGTTGCTGAGAGGGACCTGTCGGTTTCAGAGGTGGACTGGGTGGGGCTGTGGATGGGAAGGGACACAGCAGCTGGATGAACTCCCAGTGTGCCATTCCGGCTGGGGGCGCAGCTCTGGTGCTTGTGTAGCTGGGGCTGTGGTGGCTCGGAGGCCTGGCAGCACACGGCAGCCTGGACCGAGGACAGCAGCACAAGTCTCCCCTTGTGGGGATGGGACCCACAGCTTGTTTCCCAGAGGCCGAAGGAGGCCCAAGAGCAGGGAGGCCCAGGGATACTGCCCGGGTCACACAGGAAGTCACTGGCAGGGCTGTGACCACCATGTCCAGCTTTTCCCCTAAGCAGCCACAGGGAAATCAATGTTGACCCCAATCCTGGGTCCACTGGGCGTGGGGACCCCCACGGCGATCCCGCTTGTTGTGAGGACAGATCTCTGGTAGTTTGTCCTCCATTTTGGTGAAGACTTTCCAGGACTGGCTTTGGCACGTGTGTCTCTGTCTGTAGGGAACTCCCTCTATCTCATCCACGCCCCTCACCCCTGCTGTGCCCTGAAGCAAGGCTGCTTTGGTGGCACAGAGAGCAGAGGCCTCGTGTTGAGCTGCAGGACCCACGTGTTTCCTCACAAGCCAGGCTCTTCGGCAAGGTACACTTGCCAGGCAGGCACCCGGGACCCTGGGCCAGGGATCTGCTTTCTGACAAGGCCTCAGCGGGCATGTGAGGGTACCAGGCTGCTCCCATCTCTCCGTCAGAGTCATCAACTCTGGAATTTCCATTAACTTAAAAAAATGCGTTTGGCACTTTTTTTTTTTTTTTTTTTAAATTGTGGTAAAATACATATGTCATATAAAATTCACCGTTGGAACCATTTGTATGTGTACCAGCATTCATGTTGTCGTGTGACCATCACCACCATCCACCTCCAGAACTTCTTCATGGTCCCCAAATCAGAAACTTCCTATCCATGAAACACTCTCCCCGTCTCCCTCTCCCCCAGCCCCTGCCAGCCTCCATTCTTTCTGTCTGTATGGCTTTGATGACTCTAGATACCGCCTTTCAGTGGAATCATGCAGTATTTATCCTTTTGTGGACAAATGGCTTACGTCACTCAGCATGATGTCCACGAAGTTCATCCATGTTGTGGCTTGTGTCAGGACTGCCTCCTTTTTGAGGATGAGGATTATCCCATTGCACGGACGTGCACCACATTTTGCTTCTCTGTTCATCCGTCGGTGGATGCCTGGGCTGTTTCCACCTTTTGCTGTTAGGACTCATGCAGCTGTGAACGTGGGTGTGCAAATTTCTGTTCAAGTCCCTGCTTTCGATTCTTTTGGGCATATACCTGGAAATAGAATTGCTTTGGTTAACTTTTGATGGTGCTCATTTCTGAGAAAGAGTTTTTCGTGAGCACAAGCCCAGGTCTCCGCGGTGGCTGGTTAATGATGGGCTGCATTGCCTCGGTCTGCCCGGAACATGCCGGAGATGAGGCTGGAGGGGCTGGGCTCTGCAGCAGACCCTTTCATCTGCAGATTATTTTATCTCTCTGTCTTTTTTTAAGTTATCCAGGGCACAAGTGCAGGGAATAAACATTCATTACAACAGCTAAGGCAGTAATAAGGCAGAGCTTCTGCTTTGATACTTGCTTTCATAATTTATCATCCAGGCAGGGGCGGCTCTTTTACCCCAGGCAGGGAGTGGGGAGGGATGGGGTTGGTACACAGAGATGGGCCCTCCCATCCTGCACCCCTCGTGGGCTGTAAAGACTGAAGGGCTCTGTTTCTGGATTTTGACTGAACACCCTTCACCCCCTTCAGCAGCTTGTACTAAGACACCAGCGGCTTAAGAGCCCGGGGCTGAGGGCAGACCTGGGGCTAACATGTGAGGTTTGGATTGAGATGTTTCCTATGAGGCCTGCCTAATAAGGGCGAACCCGCTGTGAGAAGGGCCGGGTGCAATGACACTGAGCCCTTCTGTCATCTGTATTTGGGGTTTCCAGGTCGTTTTGATCCACGACAGAAGACAAATGGAAGCAGAGTCCTCAGACCCCTGGCACGGGTGGGCTGACAGAGCAGCAGCCCTTTCTTGCCACCCTAGCCCTGGACCACCATTCAGTAAGTTGAAAAACAAGTTCCGTTCAGACATGACACCTTGTTTAAACAAGACCGCCTCCACGGGCACCTCCCTTCCTCAATCCTTCAAATCCTAGTTTAGGAAATCCAAAGAGTTCTCTCCTGCCTGTGGCTGTTTTAGAAATGGTTTTCTGTTAGCAAGTGAGATAACCTTTAAGCCGGGAGGAAGGGAAAGGATTGTGGCTGGGCCAGGAGGCCTGTCATTAGAGGAGGCCCCCAGAGCAGAGAGGAGAAGGTGATGCCAGCGAGCCCATCTGTTTCCTTCCAAAGCATGTTTTCTGTGGGGCTGCGGGATGGGAGTGGCTCGGTCTCCTTAACCCCTCCAGGTTTGGAAGGAAACCTGCTAGAGTTGATTGCCACCTTCATTCCAACACATTTCTCTCTGGGTTGTGGGTCTGTGTGGTAAGAGGCCTGGCTCATCCGTATATGCTGCCCTGCCTGCCAAGGCAGAACCCAGACAAGCCCCTGTCCCCAAGGCAGACCAGGGGCCAGCAGTGCCTCAGAGAGCTGATAATGTGGCCAGAGCTGGGAGAATGTGGCATCAAGTGTTGGCTCCAGATTTTCGTAGCTTCTCACGGTTTTGATGTATTAGATGAGTGTCA